GTGAAACCCTGTCTGGTCTCACTATTGATGTGGGTTCAACCCATTGGACCTGTAGTGTACGTCATGCATTCAAGTCAAAGGTCAAATCTTTGACTAATCTACAAAAAGTGAAAATTACAAATTTGACCACAATGGGTGGAGGTTTTTTTTTTTTAACAAAGTAACATTCTCTTTTGTATTTTTTTTTTCACAAATGGCCAAATATTTCTCAATGCGGCAATCCTTTTATGCTGCAATTTCGCTTTTGGAATGTTGCAGAGTATATGAAGAACAATTTCACAATATATATATATATATATATATATATATATATATATATATATATATATATATATATATATATATATATATATATATATATATATATATATATATTGTGGTGGACACCATTACAAACCCATTTTGCAGCATAAAACAATTTTGTAGTGGGCCATTGCAAAAAAGCAAAAAAGTTGGTCATTTTGTTAAATGTCACCTTTAAAAGTGGTTATTTTTGTGTTTTATTCAAAAAAAACAACATTTTGAAATCATTGCAATTAGTTTACCTTCAATGAGCGCCATTGAGAACATTCCCATTGGTGAGAAAGGTCTTCTACTCCAGTAATCATACCCGTAAACCTAATAATTATGAAGAAAATTTTCATGGAAAAGTATATTCTTGTATCAGTTGCTTATAAATATTATGTTTACCTTCTTTCTGGAGAGTCTTCACACTCAAACCGCATATTAAATCTCATGCCAATGCTAAATTTATTTTTTATAGATTCAATATACTTGTTTAAGCCTATTATAAACTGACTTGTCCTGTAAAAATGTTTAATAAAGTAAATATTCACTTTTATGGAATCAAGTAAAAAAAAAAAAGAAAAAAAAAACCTTGGTTTGTAGTAAACAACAAATCTGGTTTGTGTAGAAACTGCATGTGAAGCAGTTGCAAGAACACCAAGGCGCATACTTCTGCTTGAAATCACTGAAGATGGCATGGAGTTATGTTGTTGACCAACACGTTTGACTCCAACACGTAATTCACCATTTTCACCTCTATAATTACATTTAAATGATCACATAGCAAAACAAAGAAAAGGGTATGTTAGTCTTTTAGATGTTTGAAAAACAGTCAAACATTGCAATTGATACCTAAGGAATACAAATGAATCCCCAGCCACCAATCTTTTAGCAGTAACAAAAGTACTCCATCCTGTTGTAAGCAAATGCCTTCGCGGCTGACCTGGTCAACCAAAAAAAAAGATCTTACTTTTAAATTTTAATAAAAACACAAATAGATATATGTTTTGTACTAACATATAAACATGAGAACATAATGAATGACCTCTGAATATATGCTTAAATCGCCACTCAGTCCCATGAAGATCTTTAGCTACAAGTTCTTGAGTAGGAATAGGCTGAGACATGTCCTGAACAAAAATACTTTAAAAAAATTAGAACATTAAACTGTTGAAAACATATGAAATTAGATTATTAGAAGAAAAGAAAGAGAGTGAAATTACCAATGTAGGTAGGCATTCATTTGCGTGTTTTCTGAGCACTGAAAAACCACCATGAGTGCTTGTGTCTGAAGCTGTTAAGACTTTGCAGAAAGAGTGAATACTTGCCTTTGGAGGGTCATCAACGCATTTATCAAGACTAGTAGGATCACTTTGCTATTCATTATTACAAAAGAAAAACAGTTACAAAAGGTTATAAATTGTAAAGAATTTAAGATGTGAACTCTTACATCTGCTTCTGGAAGTAGAGTGATTTGAGCATAAACTTCATCTGTATCTTGTTCAGCCTGTAATGGTAACAAAATCTAGATTCTAAAACTTCATAATCCAAATCACACACTGTAAGAACAACATGTTTACATACTTACCAGAAGCTGAGTATAAACAACACGACAGAGAATCTTTGATTTGAGATTGAAGTGAGGAATACTCTGATCGATTTCCTGATTGTTGGATTCCTCTAACTGAGCAAAAACCGTATATAATCAAGATTTAAGAAGAAGAATAGAAATTGTAGATCAACAGAATGTTGAAAAATATAAACGACATGAGAGATTTTGAAGGAAAATTAACAAGTTTATTATACTTACTTGCTCCATGTGGCCTTGAGGAAAGTAGAAAACTCTTTCTCCATCTCTTGGAACATCTACTAGTGGACCCGCACATGCCTTCCATAGCTCCTTATACAGCAGATCTTCCATTGCTCATAATCGAATCAAACGACAAATCCACAGAGAATATAACACTTTCAGCATAATAGATTATAATAGAAAACGATATATCAATATAAAACAAAAAATCATTGAATCTTCCAACACATTATCAGAGTCCAATTTTGATTTTGAAATCGTATTCTTATTGTTCCACAGATTTCAACCTTGAATATTGATATTCAAAATCAATTAATTGAGGATTTGAATCGTGAGTCAAGAAGACCGAGTGGATTCGTGACCGAGGAGAATCATCCCCATGAACACGTCAATAACATATTCAACAAAATTATCATAGCCCTGAAAATTATCAAAAGAATAAATAGGCGAAGAAGTTTCACCTTCAGGAGATGCTGACCCCCGATTCTCCATGGTCAAAACGTAAATTAAACGACACAACCAACTCAAATTCTTGTATTACATAAATCTCTATAAACATAAACCTCCAAAACCATTAAATTCGCCACATTATATGCATACTTACGATCATAACATCCCAAATAAATTTATCAGTTTATAACACTTTAATCAGCTCAATCGAAACCCTGAACCACCAATCTTCAGTTACAAATAAACAGATTAGAAAACCAGAAGAACTGATGATGCTGCTGCTTCAGGTTTCAGCTCCAAGACTCTCTCTCTCTCTCTCTCTCTCCAGAGTCCAGGATATGATTGAAAACACCGTTACTTAACCCAGAAATTGATTTATATACTACGCCAGTAGACGGCGCGTAATGAATTCCTGTTCCACGAGCAGGCAACAGGATTGGCCACGAAAAGTCAGGTATAGTGTCATTCTCCTTTTCTCTTGTCTTCACTATCACTCCTTTGACCTTCTAATTGCCATTAATTACGGATATGCCACTTGTAGTTTTCAGTTTTGAGTAACATAAAACTTATCAAATGTGAAACTAAATAATCATATTTGCTGCGATAAAAAAAAAAAAAAAAATCCATGATCAAATTTGTACCAAATAAACCAACAAATATGATATCAGCTTAACAAAGAAAATTTGGTTGGTAATATTGTATCTAGGACCCGTTTCGTCAGATTTCGAAGCCCTACAAGTTACGATAAGTGTATATACACTTTTAGATAATATAAAAACAAAACTATAAATTTAGTCCTTGTGGTTTGCAAATTTTTTTGGATATGGTGCAAAAAGTTTCGATTTGCATGGAAGATCCAAAATCAAGTTTTTTCTGTGTTTTTTATCCAAAAAACTTGAAAAGACAGTTATACCCTTTTACTTTCTTTTTTATTTTATTTTTTTCATTTTTTAAATACTATTTTAATTTAAAAAAAAGAAAATAACTCTCTCTCTCTCTCTCTCTCTCTCTCTCTCTCTCTCTCTCTCTCTCTCCTTGTGAAAGTCAACTGAGTACCACCCACGCACCCAAAAACATCACCACCACAGCCTCCCTGTCGTTCTTGGGGTTGTGCCACCGGGAACCACCCAACCCGGCTACAAATTGACCCTCATTTCGATTTCCCCCAAATCCATATAGACTCATCAATGGTCCTCCATTCAACGAAATCGGGCAGGGCATCAGCGGAACGAGGAGAATGACGATCCCTTTTCACATTGTTCGACTTCCGCCTAGAATCGATCGTCTTAGCATTCGCGTGGCCTAAAAGGAACTCTTCCTTCGTCAGATCTGAGAACGTGTGAGTGAGCCGATTTTTTGCTTCCTTCCCTCCAACCTTTCTTCTATCTTCCAAATCCAAATGGGATTTTCATATTAGGGCTCCTGTATCATCTTCCTCCCTCGTCTATTAGACGTCGCAAGTAGGGAACGAACTAAACAATCAATCCTCTTGATTGATCGAACAGGAAAACAATAATAACAAGGTTGAGAATTGGACTTATAAGGGTCGCAAGGGGTGACGAGGTTGGTTGGAGACGTGATCGACGGAAGCAGCAGCTAGTGACAACAGTGGTTCACCGTAACGACGATGTGGTGGCAGGGGCTACTTCGACGGCTTCTGTTGCTTCGTTTCTAATAAGCTCGACGAGAAGGAGGGCAGGAAGAGGATGGTGGTGAACGGAAACCACCGAAATAAGGTGGTGGGGGCTGTTGGTCGGTAATCCAAGGAAGAAGGGGGTGGAGTTGGGTGGTTCCCAGTGGCACAACCCCAAGAACGACACGGAGGTTGTGGTGGTGATGGTTATGGGTGCTTGGGTGGTACCCAGTTGACTTTCACAATGTGTGAGAGAGAGAGAGAGTTATTTTCTTTTCTTTTTTTAATTAAAATAGTATTTAAAAAATAAAAAAGAAAGTAAAAGGGTATAACCATCTTTTCAAGTTTTTTTGGACCAAAAACAAAGAAAAAACTTTGATTTTGGATCTTCCATGGAAGTCGAAAACTTTTTGGACCCTATCCAAATTTTTTTGCAAACCACAAGGGCTAAATTTGCAGTTTTGTCTAATATAAATATAAATATACTTACTTATTTTTCGTGTTCAAACCTTGTAACCATGTTTTTATAGTGAATTTTTATTCTTTACTTATTTTTCGTGTTTCTCTTCCTTAGTCCTCTAGTCAAAGTTGCACGGAAACGGATACGGCAACGGGAAACGGATACGGAACGGAAACGGCAAAACTCAAAACTTCAAGATACGGATATGGCATAGATATGGCAATATAAAAAATATGAAAATATATATATATATATATATATATATATATATATATATATATATATATATATATATATATATATAAGAAATTCCAAAATATGTAAAGTTTAAACCCCAAATGTACTAAATATTTCAAAAGTAACTAATTATCAATAGTCAAATCATTTTCAAAATCCGGTTCATCTACTGAGAGATCTGCAACCTCCAAAAACCCGACATCTTCCATTGAATCAAAAGCATCTCCACCCACATCCCACATCTTTACATCATCTTTCAGAGTCCTTGACAAAATTCGGAGATTATTGTGGATGTAAACCAAGTCTTGAGCACGAATTGTAGTCAACTTGTTCCTTTTAAGCGAGTGAATAAATGCATAAGTACTCCAATTACACTCAGCACAAGAAGAAAAACTAGGTTGTCCAAGTAATCTAAAAGCCAAAGTCTGGAGAAAAGGAGTTTGAGCACCAAAGTTAACCCACCAATTCTTAGGTTCCATAGTAGCCATCTTTGAAATGCTTGTTAAATCTTCAAAAGGACCACTCTTCATTGAAAACATTGCATACTCATCAAGGACTCTGCTATACTCGTCATCATTAGGAAAAAACCTTCGAAAACATTTCATCCTTTCTTGTGAAATTTCTCCATCCTTATGTGGAGCACATCTTGTAGAATCCTCCATTAACCATGCATCACTATAATATATAATAGAAATCAAGTGTATAATATAAAATCTTATACCTTGGATGTAAAGAGTGAGCTAAACAATGTAGGGGAGTGTTATTATTCGCCCATCAAGCCACTAAAATACGATGCACAGCATCATAAAAGCAACTTATTTGAGATGTCAGACACTTTTCTTTCTTGTAGATCTCGATCTTCACTTTCTCAATCATAGAATCTCACATCTGATACACCAAGTGTAAACATGGCTTGTCGGTGTCACAAGCTCTAATCATCTCATATATAGGTCCAATGAAACTAAGAATATATGCTACTTTGTCCCACCAATCATCATTCAAAATATATTCTTTCACAGAGTTTGCTTTCTCAGTGTCGTCTAATCTATAAGAAGACCATTCTTCTCTTATGACCATAGCCTGAAGACCCCTTTTGATTTGTTTCAATCTCTTAAGCATCATAATGATGGAGGCAAAGCGAGTGTTAGCAACAGAAAGCAGCCTAAGAGGAGTAAACTTGGTGAAAATTGAGAGTCTCATGTTGTGGTTCATGATGAAATTTTTTATTGCAAATGCCTCTTCGTGAACTTCTTTTATCCAGCGACACTGGTCATATGTTAGTTCATTTGTTTCCACATTCCCTGGTGAACAAATATTATTCAAAGCAAGATTAAGCATATGAACAACACATGGTGTCCAATAGATGTGAGGAAACTGACTCTTTATAATCTCTCCAGCCGCCTTACAATTTGCTGCATTGTCAGTAATGATTTGCACAACATTTTCATGACCAATTTCATTAATGACTTCTTTCATCAATTCAGCAATAAAAAAACTATTTTTCACTTCCCTAAAACAATTCACTGCCTTTAGAAACAAAGGACCATTACCTGAGGTAGCCATGAAATTGATTAGAGGTTTTCTTGTAGGATCACTCCAGCCATCACTCATAATAGTCACACCTTTTCTTTCCATGTAGACCTAAGTGGCTCCAATAGCTTGTGAAAATTATGTTTTTCTTTTTGTACTAATGTTGTTCTTAGCTTATTATAACCAGGAGGTACATAACCATCAATTTTGTTGTTAGCAGCAAATTGAAAAGCCCTGACATAGTGTGGGTTTCTTGCAAGATTAAAATGTAAACCTCCAGTATAAAACATTCTAGCTATTTCTTGATCCAGTTGGTCCCTAATTTCAACACCAAAAGCTCTTTCATTAGGTGTTGAAATACCTTTTCTTTTGTTAAATCCAACACCGGCTTAACATAGCAACTGGACTTCTTTCGCTTGTGACTCAGTTTTCTTCATTTCATACGCATCTTCTAATTGTGTCATGTTAAGTTTGTCAGCTGTTGTTGCTTTCTTGCAAATAGAAATCCCGGCACCCATATTCAAGTAAAACAACATGATTTCAAGAACACACATAATAACATTGACAATCATTAAACAACATGAAAAAAAGGTCATCATTGACATTATAAATTCAATTACGTTACATTAATCAAAACAAGAAAGTGAATCAAAAATCTCTTAATCTCTTATTTCTTTACCGTTGTTCATGAATAAATAGTTCTATTGAATAACATTAATCCAAAGTGCAACAAATACATGAATCAAAACAAAAATCGTAGCATCTTATTTCATTACAATTATTAGTGAATCAATAGTTCAATACTTCAATACAATAACATGATGTAACGACCATAAAATTTCAACCAATTTAAACTTTTAAAAAACAACCCGATTTCATTAAATTATTACAAAAGGTTTTCAATACATTTATTATCAGAGTATTCCCAGAACCATAATCATAAAACATAAACTCGAGGAGCGGTACGATCACGCCTTTGCCTTGCCACGGTCTCCTGAAGAACCTGAAAAACATTAAACCACAACTGTAAGCCCGAAAGCTTAGTGAGATACCCCCAAAATACCATACACATATACCATACACATATAACATGCTATATCATAACAATCACAGAACAACCATGCATATCGGGTTTACTGTGTGACTGGTCCGCCGCACCGGCCAACAGTCCACCTGGTCCACTCTCCGAGTCTAGCCATATACATCGAGTCTGCAGTGTGATTGGTCCGCCCGCACCGGGCCTTCAATCCACCTGGTCCACTCTCTGAGTCTACAATATGACTGGTCCGCCCGCACCGGGCCTTTAGTCGGCCTGGTCCACTCTCCGAGCCTCGGCATGTCTGGTCCGCCCTTTTGGGGCCTACAGCCTATCCGGACCGCTCGCTGGGCCTTCGGGACAACCGGTCTGCCCTGGGTATCTTGGCCTACAGCACAAAGAAGCACCCGCCTCAACCCAATTCCAGTCCACCAACCATGTGCACATAAACATACAATCATATAACAATTCACAGTCAACAAGCCGATCTACCATATCACATAACATATCATCATCCTAACCAGGATACTGACCTAACCGGTCACTAGTATAGCATCATCCTACAAATCAGGATTCCAACCTTAACCAGGTCTCTAACATATACCATCCTAGCTACCAGGATGCAAACATATCAAAGCAATAACATAACAACCAATACCCGGATCTCAATCCGACAAAGGGCCGGCCTTAGTGCCCTAGACCTTGTTGATATAGTGAGGATAACTCACCTCGCACTGCCGAAACTCTGAACTGAAGAAGCAGATTCTCGAATCACCGCCTCACCGAAAATCCGAACTAGCCATCATAGCACAAATAATCATTAGGCTAAGCACAATACCCTTCCAAGGGTAAATTAACCAATTTACCCTTAACTCATTCCGGCCCAACACTGGATAAGCTCTCAAGCCCACTAATGGCCCAAAGTCCTAAAGTCCAAAGCAAAGCCCACTATTGGCCCAATTTACTAAATTGGGTCCACCATACCAAATGGGCCTAGACCCATGGCCCATAATAATTAATTGGTCCCAAAGTACTATATCCAAATTGTCCAGTCATGGCCCATAAATCCAACAGCCCAATAACAGCCCAAACTCTAAGGCCCAAAATGAAAATCCAACAGGGGGAGTACGCTGGGCGTACACATTGTTTCGCAACTGGGGATTGGGGCACTAACCCGCTACGTGAGGCGTACTCCTAAGTTACGCTGGGCGTAACTTCGTTGCTCATTAAGTCCTCATAACTTCTTAATAGCTTAAGCTCTTAAGCCCAAACTTCAGATCCTTAGGCCAAATATGCCTAAGATTCATAAAGTCTCAAACTTTAGCACTTGTGGCATCCATAAAGCTCTTAATCCAAGCTCTTAATCCATTAAGACCTACTTATCTCACACATGGAACAACCACAACCCTTGGGACCTCATTTTTCTCACTCAAGACCTCTCATAATCTCGGCCAACTCAAAGCACGCATCAAGATGAGGGCTTTTGGGACAAGAATGATGTCAAAACTTCACAACACTTAGATCTATGCAATATAAATGACAAGCAAGAAGCTTTTACCTCATATAGGCTCTAAAGGATGATATCTTTCCAGATCTACAAGCTCCAGCCACTCCACTCTTCTTTGACAACTTCAACTTTCTTCTTCTAGCCTCTCCTTTGCCAAAATAAGCTTTTCAAGGCCAAACACACCCAACAATGGAGGTGGAACGGCTATCTAGGGTTTCTGAGGTTAAGAGAGAGCTTATGGAGGCTAGGGTATGAACCAACATGTTCCTTATATAGTGGCTGACCCTGATTTTAGGGTTTTAGAACTCTGAGAGTACGCTGGGCGTACTCAACCTTGCACCTGCATCCACTTAAGCCCTTACGCTGGGCGTACTCGGCGTGTCCCCAAATTTCATATTTGGCCCTCTTTTTCCACTTTTCCCACAAGATGACCAAAATACCCTTCCTCTTAAATCCCGGGGACTCACAATTAAGTACTCTTAGGAACGGGGCGTTACACATGAATGAAAAATCACAACAAATACATGAATCAAAACAAAAATTGCATCCTCTAATTTTAATACTTTACAATTTTTCATGAATCAATACAATAAATTAATAACATAAATCAAAAATCAAAAATTACATAGACACACACACATACACACACTAATTTGAATAAGATATTACCTTTTATACCAAACAAATGTGCCATAACTCTAGAATATGATCCTTGTCGGGTTTCACTGCAAAGGTTACACTTGAACTTCCAACATCCTCCTGGTCCAGCAAGTTTATCGAGTTTAGTCACAAAGTCCCACAATGGAGGTTGGTTTACTGATGTAGATGATCCTTGTGTTTCAGTTTCTTGTTCTTGAGAAGAAGCCATAATTAGTGAGTGGTGAAAGTCTAAATGCTTTTAGAATTTTTTTTTTTATTATTCTTGACTTCTTGTATTCTTGATCGACGAAATGGAGAGGCAAGGGCGCAAGGCAGCAACGATCCCTTCTCTTAGGCTGCTTTTTGTTTAGTAATTAGCCGTTTAGGATTGTTTAGTTGCATCGTGGGTTGCAAGTGACTAATTTTAGGGTATTTCCAACCTATATAGGACTACAACCCATTACCTCTATTAGCACCAATTAAAAGCCCATACAAAAAAAAAAAAAAAAAAAAACCGTGAACGAAACTTAATGGAAACGTTTCTGAAATTGCCGATAGTTGCTGGAAACGTTTCCCGACCGTTTCGCCGGCGTTTGCGTTTCCCCTGCTTTTCAGATACGGGAGCGGCAACTCTTAGGGTGTTTCCATGCATTGTAGCCTCTAGTATGTCTTTGCCATTGTTTCTACTTCCCCATTAGGCTTCTCCTACAAATTGTTATCACTTTTATTCTATATTTTACTTACTTTTTGTGTTTCTATTTCTTAATCCCCGGTATCCTTTGCCATTGTTTCTACTTCCTCATTAGAGTTCTCCTACCAGTTGTTATCACTTTTACTCTCGTGTAATCCGTATCAAATATTTTGTTCTTCGTAATTTTGTTCATTGCAACAAATATGATTATTTAGAATTATTGTATTTTGATGATACTTTTCACATTTGATCAAGTTTTATGTTAACTCAACATCTTTATAAAAGAAAATGAAAAATACAAGTGGAATATCTGTGACTAATGGTGATTCGAGGTCAAAGGAGTAATAACGAAGACAAGAGGAAAGGAGAATGACACTATGCCGGAGTTTTCCTAGCGAATCATGTTGTTTGCTTGTGGAACATGAATTCATTATGCATCATCTACTAACAATAACGACTCGTGACCATTCTTGACTTATTAAAAAATTTATGAATATTAGACGTCATCTACTCACAGTAACGACAAGACTCCCATTGACTTATTACTAATGGTAACTACATTTGATTAAGTTTTATGTTAACTCTCTCTCTCTCTCTCTCTCTCTCTCCATAGTTTTTTTGAAAAATCATAATGTAGGTTTTACTAAAAGATTTTATTCATAATCATTAATAAATCTTAAAATCATCTTTTCACATCACATCTATTGGATTCAGGGGCGGAGTTAGGATTTTAGGATAAAGGGGGGCTTATATATATTAAAAAAATTATTCAAATAACATAATCCACTTTGTAAGATTGAAAGGGAGAATGATAAAGAGAAAATAGAATAAATAGGAACTACATCAATTTTTTTTCAAGAATTCAAGAATTATTTTTCTTTTTCGATTGAAAAAAAATTCAATAATTATTTTTTTACACATGGTTTACCCTATTATTATAAGAATTTTGAAACTAATCAACTAATCATAATATTATCATTAATTACAAATTATATTGCTAAAAAATGTTAATCATAAGTAAAAATAACGTAAATATGTATTAACTAGTAAAGTAATAATTAGAAATTATATTTTCTTGAACTTTGAAGTTTGTAAAAGAAAGTGAGGTGAATGTAATTTGCAATATAGTCCCTTTGCCAATTGCCGATGATTTTTAACTGCGGTCAAATTGTAATTGATATATTTGTTATTGAATATGCAAATTATAATTGTCCAACAACAATATTAAGGAA